GGGAAGTTCCAGAGACTGGAAGAAAGTAAAATAATGAATGGCTGATATATAGGAACAAAGGACTAGACTGAACTTCTTGGGTCATTGAGTCCAGTCCCATGCTACCACATGCCACCATGTCAAATAACCCCATTCATAAAGTTCTATCGGGTAAACCTAATTAGTTTTATCAGTAATGATTTTGTTTTCTTCCAGGCCATTCATAAAAATGTTAAATAGCTTGGGGCCAATAATCCATCTAAAAACTAAAAAAATAAAAGGGTAATATAATTAATACCAGTCAACATGGGTTTATAGAAAGTAGATCCTGTCAAACTAAGTATCTTTTTGATGAGATTACAAGTTTGGGTGAAAAGGTAATAGTGTTAATGTAATATATTTAGACTGTTGTAAGTCATTTGACTTGGTACTACAGAACATTATGACTGAGAAACTAGAACAATACAGAATCAACATGACACACATTAAACGGATGCAATTGACTGATAGGTCTCAAAATGTAACTGTAAATAGGGAATCATGGAGCAGGTGTTTTTCTAATAGGATCCTGCAGGAATCAGGTCTTGGCTCTATGCTATTTAATATTTTTATCAATGACCTGGAAGAAAACAATCATTACTGATAAATTTGCAGATGACACAAAGATTGAGAGAGTGATAATGAAGAGGACTGGTCATTAATAGACTGATTTGGATCACTTGGTAAGATGGGAGAGCAAACATGATGCATTTTAGTATGGCCAAATATAAACATATACATCTGGGAACAAAGAATGTAGTCCAAACTTACAGCCCGGGAAGTCTACCCTGGGAAGCAGTGACTCTGAAAAGGACTTGGGGGTAATCAGCTAAACATGAGGTCCTAGTGCAACCTTGTGGCCAAAAGGGCTAATGTGATCCTTGGAATTTCAGAGAAACGTTGAGTAGGAGTAGGGAGTTACTATTACCTGTTTTTGGCAAAAGTGTGACTGCTCCTGGAATACTAATGTCTAGTTCTGGTGTGCACAGTTCAAGAAGGATGTAAATAAACTGGAGAAGAGCCATGAGTAAAGGACTAGAACACATACCTTATAGTTTTAGGCTCAAGGAGCTCAAGTCTATTTATCTTATAAAAATGTTTAAGAGGTGACTTGATCTCAACCTACGAGTACCTATAGGGGAAAGAGAAATTTGATAATAAAGGGCTCTTCAATTTAGCAAAGATATAACAAGATCCAGTGGATGGAAGTTAAATCCAGACAAGTTCAGATTAGAAATAAGGTGGAAGTGTTTTAACTGTGAGAGTTATTAACCTTTGGAACAGTTTATCAAGGGTAGTGGTGGATTCTCCATCTCTGGAAATTGATAAACTCAAGGTTGGATGTTTTTCTAACAAAGATCTACTCTAGTTCAAACAGTAATTAATTCAGATAAGTCCTATGGTTTGTGTTATACAGATCAGACTTGACAATTGCAATGGTCCCTTATGGCTTTATAATCCATTAATAAAGGTCACATAGTTACTATAGGCTAAGGAAGGGGAAATGGTCAGAACTCATTCCTCACAAAATCTCATTGTGGATCCATCTCTTAAGTAGTGGGAATTCCTTCCTGCTCAGTGACAGACCTTAACTGAAATCTAGTAACTTGGAATCATGTGTGTATAACCTGTACAGAGAGTATCACTTCATGACATTAGGTCACAGGCTAAATCTGAATCTTTTGCAATTTAGCAGAAATGACCTTTCTTATGACATATGGTTCAACCATCTGATTCTAATGGTCTAGACCAGTGGTTCTCAAACTGGGGTTCAGAGGGTCCATGAGTCAACGGGGCCATTGGCCTTGCTGATCAATTCGTCCCCCCTCCCTCCCAGTGCCTCCTGTATGCCATGGAACACCTGATCAGCAGAGTGTAGGAGGCACTGGGAGGGAGGAGGAGGAGGAGCGGGAATGGGGTAGGCTTGGGGGCGAAGGCGGAGAGAGGTGGGGCGGGGTGGAGCAGAGGTAGAGCCTTGGGAGAAGGGGTGTAGTAGGGGCGGGGCTTGGGGCTGAGCAGGGGTTGAGCACCCCTGGGGAAAATTAGAAGCCAGCTTGGGGGTCCGTGAAAAATTTTAAATCAAAATGGAGGTCCTCGGGTTGCTAAAGTTTGAGAACCGCTGGTCTAGAGGAAGCTTGAGTCTAACCAGCTACACACACAAAATGGCCAAATAACAGTGTACATAGGTGTGTGTACAGTTTGATTTTAGCAATCACTAACAACGAACAAGAGCATTTTTCCTCTACCAAGGTCACCATAAAAAGGAAGTCTTCTCCCTCCTCTCCACACTTTTTGGCTAGGAGTCCCTAAAAAACCTCTCTCTCCTGATTGCACCAGCTATCCAAGTATGCTATTCTAATACTAAAGGTGTGTCCCTTATTTTGATAAATAGGGCAGCAATGTGACAGAAAGTGGTTGTCTTCATTGCTATCATCTAGTTAATTTTAGACAGGGCAGAGCAACTAGGGACCTTACTCCGTTTGACAAAGGAAGGCATTCTTAACTCCGATTCTGTGCTCACAGTGGCTGTGTAGGATCAGGTAATCAGATACCACGATATTAAGAGAACAAAGGGGGATGCATACATTTGCAGGAAAAAAGCAAGACTTGGCCCATGGATTGCTATAAGCCTCAAGTTTTATTTTGCTTTCATAACCATAGCATTTAGTCAGATGTGCTTTGAAGTCATTATTGTGAAACATCTTTCCAAACAGATTTTGCCCCTTTAAACGGTCCCAGAGTTTGCTAATATGTTTCTTCATCCATAGAACATCCATCCACTCAAAATAACACAAAAATAAAAATACCAAAAACAGGGAGAAAAGTACATGTAGAGCAATTACACAAAAGATGACAGTCTCTGCGGGAGAACTCTTACTTCATGTTTCTGTGCTTGTTGCTTATAATCAACTTATGAAAAAAATATGAATTTGACAGGATGGATTTTAGGTTTCTTGGAATTTCACTTTTCTCATTTTCAAACCTCCCAAAAAGAAGGGGACAAAATGTGACAATGTTTCCCCAGAGGCTTCCTTAGCCATCCCTCTTCTCATTGCCTTTATATTTCACTCTGCTACTTTTCTGGAACAAACAAAGTGAGTTACTGCCACTTATAGCCCATTACAGCAGCTATGGAGACTCCATCAGATCTCAATGACCTGCCCACTAGATGCCGGATAGGGTGCAACGGCATTGTTAAATGCAAGGCCAGTTATGCTTGGTGCAGCTGGTAGGTGGTGGGGCTGCCTTTTAAACAGGTTACTGTTTACTCATCCAAGTTTACCCTCCAAAATGTCAGTACGGCAGCCCTTCTATTTGACTATTTTATTTAATACTTTTATTACAGAACCATTCAGAGGCCCTAATCAGGATCTGGGTCCCATTGTACATACATACAGTCCCTGCCTTGATCATTGCTTTCCTATATTCCTATTTCCTTCTGAATGTCCCAACTCAGGAGAGGAGGGAATACCTGCAAGGACACCATTGGAAACTCAGAAGAGCAGTGATGTCCAGCTATCCAGGAATAACTTAGAAATACTGACCTTATAGACGATTTACAATGGCAACACGAGTAAGCTATTTATCAAACTGGTTCATTAAAAAAAAAGTGGGCTAAATGTTTAGTTCCATTAGTCCTGGGATGTAAACATACCATCTGCAAAGGGCAGAGATTCGAAGTGGGAAAGTAAAAAGGAGGATGCATGTCAAATAAAGTTGAACATGTTACCACTGTGTTACCTTAACACATTTCCAAGCCCCCTTTCTAAATGTTGGTATTAAAAAGTACTACATGTTCTGGAAGGGCAGCATTCTGACTCATCATTTTCCAGAAGGGCTCCCCAAAAATGGCTCAACACCCTTCCTACCATCTGATAGTTGAGAGCTGTACCCCCCTCTGTACAATGAATCTATGGTATTTTCTTTCCCCAGTAGTTTTGCTTTACAGAGGTTTGCCAGCTGAGATCCATGATAGAGAACAATTGAGAAAAAGCTGTGAACAAGTTAGAGATTGATCTCCATCCATCCTGTCAGTTTCATTACAGTGAGAATATATACTAAATAAATGAAAACATCCACAGCATGAAAATGATTTGTAGTTTATTTGAAGGCAATTGATACAAACGTCATTTGTGCAAGGCCAAGGGAACCTGGTTTTCACATACTCTCAAGAAAGGATTTGTTTTCATAGCTGCATTTAAAAATAAAAGCCATGCAGCACCGTTAGACTTCCCCATACCTTTTCAGGTGTTTATCAGTTGGATCTCTTGGAAATCTGTTCCTATTCCTGCTCCACCATGACACACTAGACAAAACGCCACTGAAGACTGGATGTGCAGCCAGGGGGCACCCTTTCAAGATAGAGATGTTTGAATATTGAACAATTAAAGTTAGAACAGCCAATTTAGTTTCCTCTTTATTGTTTGATTTTCGTTTTGTTTTGTTTTTTAACCCACCATCTTTCTCTGCATTATCCTGGGCTGCTGCAACTGTCGCAGCACCTAACCTTCTTGCCAGCAGGGCAATTGATCCCTTTTCTCCAGAGTAAACCAGTTGTTTTTTCTGGACAGCACTGTCCTCTCAGAGGTCCAGCACCTTATTTCTGCAGTGTGCCCAACTCTTCCCAATCTGGGGACGTGGGAGCCCAAAATCTGCTGCTGAACCTAGGTCTCAGGCATGGCAGCACCATTCACTGCCAGTGCTCCTCTGAACCAGCTCATCAGCCAAGCTTTTGATTCTGAAATAAACTATGTGCCTAACAACACATCACATAAATCAGGTGTTCATCTGTTGTTGAACAGCCTTCCTGGGAAGCATTGCTGGTCTGTGAACACCTCCAAGCTTCTATTGCCCTCTGTTTGCAGGTCCATATCTGAAACACGTGGCTCCTTGGAGTTAGATATGCCAGAGTCTATACTGTTAGTCCCGATACCCTGCTTGTTGCTAGAGTCCCACTGTTGAAAGTCTCCTGACTGCTTGCATCCATCTTCACTTGGCTGTTCCAGAAGAGCTTCGTATGCTGTGTCTGAAAGAGGAAATGTACGTGGTTCCCAAGGTTGTACACTCTGGGGGAGAGAGAAGAGAGAAAGAAGGATTGGTACAGAAAACCCAGATTTCAGAGTGGTAGCCGTGTTAGTCTGTATCAGCAAAAAGAACGAGTACTTGTGGCACCTTAGAGTCAAACAAATTTATTTCTTAGTCTCTAAGGTGCCACAAGTACTCATTTTTTTTTATTTTTTATTTTTTTTAAAGAAAAAAAACAACCAGAGTTAGCCCGTTATAGGACATGACAATATTCATTCTCCCTACATCCCTAAAGAGACCTCACGCTTCAATTTAAACCTCAAGCTCTTCTCTCTGGAACAGGGTGCTGAAGTAATGCAGACAGTTTCGATAAGCAATAGAAGTTATGCAGCATAGAACTGTGATACGCGAGCTCGCATTTATATTCTTAGTCCCAGCTAATCATTTTTCTGTTGGGATCAAGACTACTACCCTCCTGGCTCCTTACCTCCTTGATCTTTGAGGAAGTTCTTCCACAACCCCAGTGACTTCAAAAGACATTTAAAAAGTAAAGTTAGTGCCTGTACTCAGAACAGGTCTGGCGCAGAAAGCAGCAATGAGATTCTTCAATCTCAAATGCCTGACCTGGAAGGATCATCTCTAAGGGTGAGAGGGGAGTTCAGTCCCTATGGTACACTCAGTCATAGACGCCAACTCATGGGTGCTCCAGCCCTGGAGCATCCACAGAAGAAAAAAAAAAAGTGGGTTCTCAGCTCCCACCGGCTACAGCTGTTCCCCACCACTGCCAAACAGCTGATAGGGGCGGCACAGCCACCAAACAGCTGTTTGGAGGCACGGGGAGGAATTTGGGTGAGGGTAGAGAGCAGGAGGGTGGGTGAGGACCTCAGGCAGGGGGTGGAGTGGGGGGAGTAAGAGGGAGTGAGGGCGAGCCCTGGGGGAGTGGGCGGAGCAAGGGCAAGAAGAGGCAGAGCAAAGGCGGGGCCTTGGGGGAAGGGGTGGAGTCTCGGGGCAAAGTGGGGGCTAAGCACCACCAGGGAAAAGGAAAAGTCGGCACCTGTGCACTCAGTCCTTGATCTTTCTACAGAAACTGCTAACAAGGGTGGAGAATCGATGAAGTGGCTTGTAGGGTGGATACCTGCCCAATGAGAATGGGCTGCAGGGCCAATCATTTCACAAAGGCCACTTAATTTTATCAAACAGGACAAGTCACTTAGCTTTCAGTCACTATGATTTAGAATGGATTTAAATTGGTGGCCTAGAAGTGGGATAGCTTTTTATTCCATTCCCAATCCCTTGACCAACATAACTCTGGAGACACTTAAACTGAGCCAATTCAGTGACAGTGGATCACAAACTAACTCTGATCTTGAGTGTTAAAAAAAAATCTTAAACTTAGCACTAAGTTTAGGTTTATTTCAGGTAGCAGAACATGCAGACTGCTGTGTTACAAAGGGACATATGTACTGGAGTATGCTTCAACACTCACATTTATATGAATATGTATATATAATGTTAGTGTGATGTCACAAATGTAGTGGGACTTCACTGTAGGATCAGGAAGAGATGCTCTGTTTCAAATACAAAGCTTTACAATCTCCAAAGAAATTCTGTGAAGTTCACACAAAACTGAATTACAGTACCAGCACTGTAAAGAAGTGGGCAGATCTGTGGCTAGCCATGCGCATCCCTGTGCCTCCCAAAATCATGTCACATTGTTTCATTGCTACCACTTTGGAGTAGTTTCTTTATAGAGGTCCTCATGTTTGTATTTTGGTCTACATTCAAATAGGTCTTTTGAACTGAAAATAACTTTAAAGTTTTCCAATACTGTTGTAGCCATGTTGGTCTTACCATAAGAGACAAGGTAGATGAGGTAATATCTTTTACTGGACAACCGTCTGTTGCTTGAAAGAGACAAGCTTTCAAACTCCACAGGCCTGAAGAAGAGCTCACTGGAGTTCAAAAGTTTGCCTCTTTCACTAACAGAAGTTGGTCCAATAAAAGATATTACCTCACCCACTTGTCTCTCTCAAGAACTTTTAAAGCAGTTGTGAAGAATTCTCATTCTCATTGAGTCCAAGATGGCATAAACGTTTCATGCTCTCAGCCCTGAATATACGTAAGTACAGTGGAAAGGCAATAAATATCCCTCACCTGTATTACTTCATTTAGTATTTCTGGGGAGAGTCTGGTGTCCTCAGTGCAGGACAGCGGCACTCTAGTCCTGTTCTTTATAGAGAGGGGGTGCAGAATGTTAAAAGGCTCAGGGCTGTGAGATCCCATAGAAGGGTGCATATAGAGAAAGTCATTAAGGCAATTAAATCCAGGATCTGGAGATGCTGGTTGAGGTGTCCATCGACCATCTGTTTTGTTGGAGGACCTAAACAAAAACAACGAAGTTATTTAAGGGCCAATGTTGACACAACAACAAATGGATATAAACTGGCCATCAATAAGTTTTGGCTTGAAATCAGACAAAAGTTTCTAACCAGCAGAGGAGTGAAGTTCTGAAACAGCCTACCTAAAGGAGTAGCGGGGGCAAAAAGCCTAACTTTTGTTTTAAGAGTGAGTTTGATTATTTTAATGGAGGGGATGAAATGATTGGCTAAATGGCATATGGCCCATCCACGACTGCTACCAGCAAATTATCTCCAATGGCTAGAGATGGGACAATAGAGTGGGAGGGCTCTGAGTTACTACAGAGAATTCTTTCCTAGGTGAGTCTTGCCCACATGCTCAGGGTCTAACTGATCACCATATTTGGGGTCAGGAAGGAATTTTCCCCCCAGGTCAGATTGAGATTTTTTTCGCCTTCCTCTGCAGCATAGACATAGATGATTAGGGTTGGAAGAGACCTCAGGAGGTCATCTAGTCCAATCCCCTGCTCAAAGCAGGACCAACACCAACTAAATCATCCCAGCCAGGGCTTTTTGTCAAGCTGGGCCTTAAAAACCTCTAAGGATAGAGATTCCACCACCTCCCTAGGTAACCCATTCCAGTGCTTCACCACCCTCCTGGTGAAATAGTGTTTCCTAATATCCAACCTAGACCTTCCCCACTGCAACTTGAGACCATTGCTCCTTATTCTGTCATCTGCAACCACTGAGAACAGCCTAGCACCATCCTCTTTGGAACCCCCCTTCACGTAGTTGAAGGCTGCTATCAAATCCCCTCTCACTCTTCTTTTCTGCAGACTAAACAAGCCCAGTTCCCTCAGCCTCTCCTTATAAGTGAAGTGCCCCAGCCCCCTAATCATTTTTGTTGCCCTCTGCTGGACTCTTTCCAATTTGTCCACATCCTTTCTGTAGTGGGAGGGCCAAAACTGGACACAATACTCCAGATGTGGCCTCACCAGTGCCAAATAGAGGGGAATAATCACTTCCCTCAATCTGCCGGAAATTCTCCTACTAATGCAGCCCAAAATGCCGTTAGCCTTCTTGGCAACAAGGGCACACTGTTGACTCATATCCAGCTTCTTGTCCACTGTAATCCCCAGGTCCTTTTCTGCAGAACTGCCGCTTAGCCAGTTGGGCCCCAGCCTGTAGCAGTGCATGGGATTCTTCCGTCTTAAGTGCAGGACTCTGCACTTGTCCTTGTCAAACCTCATCATCTCTCTTTTGGCCCAATCCTCCAATTTGTCTAGGTCACTCTGGACCCTATCCCTACCCTCCAGCATATCTACCTCTCCCCCAGCTTAGTGTCATCTGCGAACTTGCTGAGAGTGCAATTCATCCCATCACCAGATCATTAATGAAAATGTTGAACAAATCCGGCCCCAGTACCAACCCCTGGGGCACTCCGCTTGATATCGGCTGCCAGCTAGACATCGAGCTCTTGATCACTACCTGTTGAGCCTGACGATCTAGCCAGCTTTCTATCCACCTTATAGTCCATCCATCCAATCCATACTTTTAAAATTTGCTGGCAAGAATACTGTGGGAGGCCATATCAAAATCTTTGCTAAAGTCAAGGTATATCATGTCCATCGCTTTCCCCATATCCACAGATCCAGTTAGCTCATCATAGACGGCAATCAGGTTGGTCAGGAATGACTTGCCCTTGTTGAATCCATGTTGACTGTTCCTGATCACCTTCCTCTCCTCCAAGTTCTTCAAAATAGATTTCTTGAGGACCTGCTCCATGATTTTTCCAGGGAACGAGGTGAGGCTGATCGGTCTATAGTTCCCTGGATTCTCCTTCTTCCCTTTTTTAAAGATGGGCACTATATTTGCCTTTTTCCAATAGTCCGGAACCTCCCCCAACCGCCACAAGTTTTCGAAGATAATGGCCAATGGCTCTGCAATCACATCAGCCAACTCCCTCGGATATATTGCATCCAGCCCCATGTCCTGCTTTTCTAAATAGTCCTTAAGCTGTTCTTTCATCACTGAGGGCTGCTCACCTCCTCCCCATACTGTGCAGCCCAGTCTGGGAGCTGACCTTGTCTGTGAAAACCGAGGCCAAAGAAGCATCGAGTTCTTCAGCTTTTTCCACATCATCTGTCACTAGGTTGCTTCACCCATTCAGTAAGGGTCCCACACTTACCCTGACCTCCTCCTTGTTGCTAACATACCTATAGAAACCCTTCTTGTTACTCTTTACATTCCTTGCTAGCTACAACTCCAGTGGTGCTTTGGCCTCAATAAGGCTTCTTTAAAATACAGCTAGCTCTCCTGGACTTCTTTCCCACTCATATTAGCCTCCCAGGGAATCCTGCCCATCAGTTCCCTGAGTCTGCTTTTCCGAAGTCCAGGGTCTGCAGTCTGCTGTTCTCCTTTCTTCCTTTTGTCAGGATCCTGAACTTGACCATCTCATGATCACTGCTGCCCAGGTTGCCACCACATCTACTTCCCTGTTTGTGAGCAGCAGGTCAAGAGAAGTACGGCCCCTAGTTGGTTCTGGTTGTCCCCACCACTCTCCAAAACCTTCCTGGATTGTCTGTGCACTGCTGTATTGCTCTCCCAGCAGATGTCAGAGTGATTGAAGTCCCCCATAGGAACCAGGGCCTGGGATCTGGAAACTTCTGTTAGTTGTCCGAAGAAAGCCTTGTCTACCTCATACTCCTGGTCTGGTGGTCTATAGCAGATGCCCACCATGACATCATCCTTGTTGCTCTCGCCTCTAAACTTAACCCAAAGACTCTCAACAGGCTTTTCTCCAGTTTCATACTGGAGCTCTGAGCAATCATACTGCTCTCTTATATACAATGCAACTCCTCCACCAGGTCACTTCCTGGTTCAAACTAGAGTACGTGGTGGATTCTCTATAACTTGAAATCTTTAAATCAAGATTTGAGGACTTCAGTAACTCAGCCAGAGGTTATAGGCCTATTACAAGAGTGGGTGGGTGAGGTTCTGTGGCCTGCGATGTGCAGCAGGTCAGACTAGATGGTCTCTTCTGGCCTTAAAGTCTATGAGACACAGGAACATAACTAGATACTAACATGGAACCCAAATAAAAATAAGCCACTGCATATTGCAAATGTGAGCCACAAAACTGAGATAAGTCTGGACTTAATCATTGTATCCCTCCTTTATTCAAGCAGCTGGTCATGGTCTCCAGCAATTAGTGTTTTGCCCCTGAATTGCAGCTTCTCCTCCACTGTCTGCTATAACAATAGCTCACAATTTTCTTGGGCAATTTCTGCCAATGTTGGTGGTGGTGAATTTTAGGATTAAGAAAGCATTTGCTAGCTGCTTTTTCTCATGATGAGACTTTGGGGAATCTGAGATAAAATAGTATAAACCATCTACTACTAAGTACAGAGGCAAACAGATTGCTGTAATTGGAACTTATACTGAAGAGTCCTGCCTATTTCTGACTGCACACATACATTTTTTTCTTTGAAATCCTTTCACCTCCTCCTCAGGGCCTGACATATGTTCATTGTGCCCCCCACTACTCCAGGTTTCCAAATTTCTCTTCTCCTTTCCACTGTGTTGTTACGACCTGCTGTCTAACCAAGGAGAGCTGGAAGAAATTGCCATGTTTACAATCTGTCAACTCCACTCCTAGGTAAGCAAAAGAGATATAATTTGGAAAAAGGGCATGGAGTTTGCACTAACTTATTAGTTCCTAGCATGAGACATGAGGGCCCAAGCTTAGTATGAAACTAATTTCTCATGTGGCATGATAACGTGCTGAGTCACTACTCTGATGAGCTGGCCCTATCCTATATACATTTCATCAACACTTTGCTTGTCAGCACAGCAGACTGGTTACATGAACCACGTCATCAGCAGCCTAGGATTTCTTTGCTTACAACAAACTATAGTTTCACAAAGTATAAGGCCAGAAGGGACAGTGATATAAAGAAGTCAGACTAGATGATATCTCTGGCCATTAAATTTCATTCAAATACTTCTATAGCGTTCATTCACTCCTCAGAAGACTAAACTGTTGTGCCACTGGCAGAGACCAGGAGAGTTTTAGGTGCCACCAATGCCTGAGGCCCCGGCAATGGCAGGAAATTGATTAAATGAGATCTGCCCAGATCTTCCCAGCAGATGATCCATGCCCCATGCTGCAGAGGAACGTGAAAAATCCCTACATCCCTGTCAATCTGACCCTGAGGGGAAATTCCTTCCTGACTCCAAATCTGGCAATTAGTTAGACCCTGAACGTGTGAGCAAGACACCAGCAGGCATTTAAAATGAATTCTCTGTATCACTTAAGTACTGGTTCATCGTGCCTGGTGTCCCATCTCCAGTTGTGGCCAATCTCTGATGTTTCTGAAGAAGGTAAAAAAAACCAATATATCTAATTATGCACTGGGGAAAAAATTCCTTCCTGATCCTTGCAGGTGATCAGCTGATGCACAGACGCACAAAATTTGATTATAGTCATTGTCTTAATGCAGAGCTGCAACGAGTGTGTTAGGAGCAATGCAGACAATCCTGTTTTCCCCATTATGCATGAAGGAAGGGGATGAATGGGGGACTGATGAGAGTCCTAGATTCCAAAGCCAGAAGGGACCACCAGCCTGACAACACCTTCTTTTCCCTCTGCACCCCCTGTACTCCCCGGCTATAGAATTTCTCCCAGACCAACATTAAAGGATATATTTTAGAAAGGTATTTGATTTAATCCTACAGACTCCGAGCATTGGGAAGTCCACCACATCACCTGGTAAGCTGTTCCAATGTTTGCTAGGAAATTATATCTTATTTCAAGGTTGAATTTGTCCAACTTCAACTTCCAGCCACTGGCTCTTGTTATACCTTTGTCAGCAAGCTTGAAAAGTCCCCCACTATCAGACCTCTTGTCCACATGTAAGTGCCTAGACACAGTGATCACATCATCTCTCCATCTTCTTTTCAAAAAGAAGGAGACTCCTTACTTTCCAGCTTCCTGATTATTTTTCTGGCCCTTCTTTGAACT